AGACAGAGTACTCCTCCTACAGGCTAGGGATGTCCAAGAAGCGGGCGTCCTGGCTATCGGCGTGGCTAAACGACAAGGTGACCTTCGGCAAAGTCACGGCCAAGGAGATGCAGCAGGGGCTAGGTCGGCTAGGCTTTGCTGCGATAGCCTTGGATTGGCAGAGGCCCTTCTTGGGGCCGCTCCACGCGTGGAGCGCAGCCATTCAAGGGAAGTCCGGCTACCTCATCATCCCGACGATGCTCCGGGTGCTGATGCGGTGGCTAGCCGACAAGCTTGACCAAGGAGAGAGGCTACAGCGTCCCGTGACTCTCTACGCCGGGCTACCTCCACTGAGCTTTTTCACGGATGCTAAAGCTGAGTCCGATAGGGCCTGGATAGGTGGCTTCCTGGAGATTTCCGGAGGGAAGCCAGGTCCCTGGTTTTCCTTAGAAGTGGATAGGGCCTGGGCTCCGTGGGCCTTTGCCAAAGGCGACCCCAAGAAAGTGATAGCTGCGCTAGAACTGCTAGCGACCCTCGTGGGGATACGTCTCTGGGTCCCCGAGGGCGAGGATAGGAAGACCTCGCGAGTGGCCATCCGCGGCTATACGGATAACAAGTCCAATGAGGCACTTGTGAAGAAGGCTATGACGACCAAGTATCCCTCCATGCTAGTTTTAATGGAGATAGCAGAAGAGCTATCCCAGAAAAACTGTGAGCTACAGCTCCAGTGGATACGGAGAGACATCAACCAGCTAGCGGATGACCTCACAAACGAGGAGTTCAAGGAATTCGATCCCTCTCAGAGGATAGATCTGAAAGGAGAGGAATTCCAGTGGCGTGTTCTGGGCCGGCTACTCGCGCATGCAGATAGCTTCTACCAGGAGCTAGGCACGCGAAAGCGAGGGACCCCGGATAGGGTGTCCAAGTTTAGCCGTAAGGCCAGAAAGCTAGATCCCTGGTAGCCTGAGTGGCGATGCGTGGGGATAGATAGCCGAAGGCTATCAGTTATCTCCAGGCAACCTGGGATAGTTGCCACTCCAGACAAAAGAACGTCCGTGCTAGCTGTGTTGCTTGTCCGTCTGGTCGTCGCTCGGCTAGCTCGCTAGCTATCTACTTTCGCACTACTATCGTCCTGGTGGAGTTCCGGGGATGGTGGTGGGATATAGGAGCTAGTGCACGTACCTCGTGACGAGGAACGAGTTACGACTATGTGTGCTAGCTTACCTATTACTACTCGAAGCTATCGAAGGTAGCTTCGCTAGAAACGAAGTTTCGTTCGCTATCGTCGCTCGCAGGAGAGTTGCCTCTGACATGCGAAGACAGGATAGCAGTGACTTGGAATGGCTACGACGGTGTGTGACCGTGGCCATTCTGGATAAAGTCCCCCATCAGGGGGGGTAATTTTGAAGTACCCACCCTGCCCACCCTGGGGATAGATAGCCGAAGGCTATCAGTTATCTCCAGGCAACCTGGGATAGTTGCCACTCCAGACAAAAGAACGTCCGTGCTAGCTGTGTTGCTTGTCCGTCTGGTCGTCGCTCGGCTAGCTCGCTAGCTATCTACTTTCGCACTACTATCGTCCTGGTGGAGATCCGGGGATGGTGGTGGGATATAGGAGCTAGTGCACGCCTTACTTCCGGTCCGCCGTCGCCCGCAGGGGTGCCGCAACCTTACGGGGGCCAAGGGAAGCGCCCTTTTCAAGGCAAGCAGGGAGGCCGAGCCAAAGGCAAAGGTTTTATGGGCAAGGCTTTTGGAAAGGGCAAGCAGTCGACGGCTTCGCGTGCCGATACAATCAAGGTCTCTGGTCAAGTGCTCACCATCTGCCGTGATTTTTACACCAAGGAAGGGTGCAAGCGTGCGGAATGCAGATTGGCTGATGTGTGCAATGTGCCCAGGTCGGATGGCATGGCGTGCGGGGGCAAGCATTCGGCTGTGTCCCACAGATCAAACCCCCATTGAGGGGGCCCGGTTCAGGCGGTCGCGCCAGCCTGCACGGGCAGCGGTGATGTTGAGGCGCTCCATGTCCCTTCCTCGGGTTCTGCTTTAGGTGACCAGTCAGCGTCTACCGCAGACTGTGTGGCCTGGGCCGCGGATAGTCCCGACGCCCCTCTTTTGGACGGGTCGGCAGCGGCTGCCGGCTGCATGCACTCTTCAGCCGGATTATGCTGGCTGCCTCCAGCACTTGCAAGAGCATTTTTTATTTTCCAGGCAGAGCGTCCGCTCATCAGTGGTCGGTGAGCGGGCGGGCTATTTTAATTTCGGTGCAATGTTTGGGTCCGGTCAAGTCGGCCTCACACGCTTAACCCATGCATTCAAGGTCAGCTGCATTTTTCTGAATCAGTTCTTGCTGTCGTGCTTCCCCGAAGGAGAGTGGACTTCCATCTGTGTTGCACGCTCGGTGCAAACAAGGGTCCATTCTGATGCCGGCAACTTGCCTGGCTCCCGGAATTTCTCAGTCTCCCTTGGAGATTTCACAGGCGGAGAGCTGTGGCTCTCGGGGGCAGGCTCAGTTCACTTTGCGTGACTCCTTTGGCAGAGTTCGGTACGGGCACACCGTGTGCACTCGGCACGCGCCCTTTGCGTTCAACTGTGAGATTCCTCACGCAACGATGCCTTGGCATGGTGGGCCCAGATGGGCTATAACGGGGTACTCCGTGCCAGGTGTTGAGCTTATGTCTGCTGAGGCTCGCGGTCAGCTCGCCGAGCTCGGTTTTCTTGCCAGGCTCCCAGAAGTCGCTTGCCCAAGCCCCACAGGCTTCATCGGCCAGTCATCCTGTGGAGCTCCCGGCTCCACCTCCTATACCACATGCCCCAGCCGCACTTTTCCTTGATGTTTGCTCCGGGGCTGCATGCCCTTTGTCAGCGGAATTGGCGTCCCAAGGTGTGTGCTGCCTACCTGTGGATATCATCCGTGAGCCTGATTCATGCAACCTCTTGGATGATGCGGTCTTTGACAACATCTTGCGCGTGGCCGGCAGTGGCCTGGTCCAGCTTGCTCACGCCAGCCCGGCATGTGCTGTGTTCAGTCGAATCAAGTCGAATGCCGACGGAGGCCCAACTCCTATCAGGTCGGCTGAATTTCCGGAGGGCTTGCCTAGCTTGAATGACTCTGAAAGAAAGCGCCTCGATAGCAGCAAGCTCCTGCTTGTTCGCTGCGTCGCAATCCTGGATGCCGTTTACTCTGCAGGCGGACACGTGAGTTTAGAACAGCCTCGAAACGCTCTTAGCTGGCTCACGCATGAAGTGCAAGAGTTTTTAAAACGCATTTCAGCAGATTTGGTAGTGGTGCCGGCCTGCTCTGTGGGCGTCTCTGCGCACAAACACTGGCTTTTTGCATCTTCTTGGCGCCCGCTGCAGTCGCTGGCTGCTGTTTGCAATCACAGTTATGCTGAACACACTGATGTGCGCGGCGCTAAGGATTCAGAGGGCAACTGGCTCTCTCAAAGCACGGCAGTCTTCCCGCAACAACTTTGCCAACGATTTGCTTCACTCGTACGGCCCTTGTTTCCCACAGGCTCTGCAGGCTCTTTAATTTCTGTTCAGGAAGCCTTTACCATGCTGCAGCCCAAATCGCACAGCACATTGCCGCGTGCTAATCAAGACGGAGGTGGCATTTCCTCGTTGCCTGGATAAGCTTCAAGGCCTTAGGAAGGCCTGGTCAGACTGGCTGGCCGCCAAGCATGTTCCCTTGCGACTGCGCAAGCATGTGTAGGCCGGCTCCGAGGAGCCTCTGTTCACGCCCGCTGAAGTCACAGAGCTGCGGTCACTGGCTTCAGAATGGTTTGCATCGCAAGGGGTTCAGGATGTATCTTGGGAAATTCCGGAATTTCAACCTTATGCCTTAGCTGCTCTTCAGCACCTAGCGTCAGTGTTGGAAGACCCTGACACTTTGCTCTGGCCCTGTTTGCTGGAGGGCGTCCCCACCGGCATTGATGCTAACATACCTAAGTCAAATGTGTTCATCCCAGTGCAACATGATCGGCAGGAGATTGTTGAAAATTTGAACATTTGCACAGGTAGCTGGAAGCAGGCGGAAGAGCAGCCGGAGTTGTTAGCAGAATTGGTGCAAAAAGAGGCAAGTGAAGGCTGGATTTCTCAGTGCCGGACCTGGCCGCGGCTAAGGCTCGCTGGGGCGATAGAGTTGCAATTGGCAAATGCAACATTGTTGGTGGCGATGCCGAGTCCGGCCGTAAAGCCCGGCTCATCGTTGACACTACTGTGTCAGGGACTAACACTTCGGTCGTGATCCCAGAAAAGTATTCGCTGCCAGGTTTACAGGATGTGATGAATAGTCTGCCGCTGAGGGGCTCTACTTCAGAGCTCGCCGGCTTCTCCTTCGACGTCCGAGCAGCAGACTGTGCGCATCAAGCCCGAGGAGCAGGGTCTTTTAGGCTTCGAGGCCGCCGGCCAGCTCTGGTTCTATCGCGTAGCCCCCTTCGGGGGGACTTTCAGTGCCTTGTGGTTTCAACGGGTGTCCTCCTTCTTCACTCGAACATTGCATTTATTGATCTGGTTGCAACACGCCCTTTGGTCGTACGTAGACGACTATTTCATGGTCCAGCCGAGCTCCGTCATTGAATTGATGGCCAGTCTGCTGCTGGCGTTCTGCGCTGCTTTCAACATACCCTTGTCGTGGGCCAAATTGCAATTAGGATCGACGATCCGGTGGATCGGGTGGCAGTTTAATCTGCGTGCGCAAGTTTTCAGTGTACCACCTGATAAATTGCAAAAGTTGCTTGCCGCATGTGTGGCGGTGGTCGAGCATCGCTACACCACTAAAAAAGCACTTGAGTCCCTCATAGGTCTTGCACTGGATTCTGCACATAGCTCCGGCCCTGAAACCCTGGTTGTCTTCCTTGTATAACGATTTGGCCAGGCCGCTCGGGACGAGTTTCAGCTTGAATCCGGGCTTGTGGCAGTCCCTACCGACCGCTCTGGATAGCTCAATGCACTTTGTGAGCAGCCCTGCTGGCTCTGGCATTCCGATAGGGGGCAAACTCTTGTCCGCTAAACATGTGGAAATGCACCGGAAGTGTGATCTCAAGCTTGTGCAGCCCTCAGGGAAAAGGATCTGGCTTCGCATCGCAGATCCACGAACTGAGAAGCGCAGACTCAGTGCAGCCAGCACGGAGTTTGTGAAATTTTGGATGCGCTGGGCCATTTGCGCACCCCGCATGCGTGCATTGCGCCCACCTCCTGTGGCTGCCCCTTTCTTGATCGCCGCCGATGCCATGGCATCAGGCAGCTGCATCGGCATCGGGGGTTTTGCACTTCTGGAGAAGGCGGGCCAGCCGCTTTGGTTTTCCGAAAGCTTTGTGGTGCAGGATTTCCTTGATTCGGGGTTGCAAATGAATTTGCAGGCTCAGCGTGACATCACTTCATACGAGGTCCTGGCACAACACGCGCTGCTACTGCTTGTATCTACAGTTCTGCCTACGGGGCGCATTTCCGTTCATTTGCCCACGCTTAGCGACAACACCGGCTCGGAATCTGCCATAAACAAACTGTTTTCTACAGTGTATCCTGTTTGCATGTTCTTGCAACGTATTGCTTCATTTGGAGCCCTGTCAGGCCTCACACTTGAGGTCGCGCATGTGCCAGGCGTTGCCAATGATGATGCAGACACGCTGTCTCGCTGGGACGGGGTGTCCCAACTTGATGCCAAGTGGCTTCTGGATAATCGGGTTCGGCTACCTCTTGAACGTTTGTGGCACTTTCGTTCCGATGTGCGCCTCTGGCCAGAAGCGACTCAGCTTCTGTGGCAGCCACCTGACTGCTGATGCCCACTGGTGAGGTACAGCGTAACGTCAGAGCACTCCAGTCGCACTCCTTCGTATGCTTGCAATCTCAGCCTCAGCCTGTGGACCAGTACCGCCGGCAGCGCGCGGTCGCTTCGCTTCCCACCTTTGGTGAGGGCTGGTCAATAGCATGGAAAAAAAAGCGAGACCTGCATGGCAGTACCGCTGGCGGTGCGTGGTTGCTTCGGCTTCCCCCGTTGGTGTGGGCTGTCATTTTCCTGCGGGTTCAGAGGTTGAGAGCAAGGCCTGTCATTGCGCACAAGCCCCACGTGTGCGAAGTTACTTCTGAGCATCATTTCCTGATGCGGTGGCTCTGCCGTAGTGTAGCGTCGCTAGCAAGTACTCTGTTGCCGTCAGTCAACCAAACACGTTCTGGCTTTGGGCTGGGACATTAGCGTTCGGTCTCCTTCTTGGCACTCGGTAGCTTTCTACTTGGCGATACATATTCTGAACTTCGTTGTCTGCTTCCAGCTCCGGCTAAGCATCCAGACTTCGTTCAACCACCGAGTCCAAAATGAAGGAGTCCGAGTGATGCATTAGCGCACGAGGTAGCCTGCTCGCGACATGTCTGTATGATAAGTGGCTGTAGTGTATGTTTGTGAACGGTATTTGTGTTTTACTCAAACCTGTTTACAAACTAACTGCTGCACTTTGAACTTGCTTTCAATATCAGATACTACAGCCACTTTTGCTCGCAGCTCGCAAAGCATATCTAGCAGACATGTTCGCGATCTTACTTTTTCACCCGCCCATCCCTCCCTGTGTGGAGGCGAGCTTTTAACTTGAGAAGCAGCTTATGTGTGGCCATAGTCGGTTCCTTTGTTATCGTTTTTCGATACTTCCTTGCTGAATCTTTGATTTAGGTCACCAGCTTTGTTGTTCCTGCGTGAGGCGATACATATTCTGAACTTCGCTGTCTGCTTCCAGCTCCGGCTAAGCATCCAGACTTCGTTCAACCACCGAGTCCAAAATGAAGGAGTCCGAGTGATGCATTAGCGCACGAGGTAGCCTGCTCGCGACATGTCTGTATGATAAGTGGCTGTAGTGTATGTTTGTGAACGAAACTGATTCACATCCTCCTTTTCGTTCTATGATTGAGCACAAAGCTTTCTTGAACGCCTGCTCCGCAAGGAGTATGCGGTTTTGAGTGCTGTGCAACATGTCATGTTCATGCAGGAGCGCTTGTGAGTCATGTCTGCTTCATGTGTGAGCTGTCAGAGCAATTCAGTGCATGTGCTTCATGAAGAGTTCGTGGTCCCTTTTTAAATGTGTGCCTGCATTGCTCAAATCAGCTGGTTCAAAACTTTAGTGAGAAAGTAGCCCACAACTTCCACTTCTGTTACCAGCATGGCTGCGGCAGGACCCTCGATGGATGCTGGACGCTCCTCGCAGGAGGAGGCACCAGTGCAGGTCTTCTGGACACCGAACAACGGATGCAACTTCAAGGTTGACGTTCACACTGGTGTCCCGGACTTTGCCATGTATCTGAAAAGCGCGTCCTGGGTGCCCCGTCGTGTACTCCGATCAGTTGGAGATGACGGCGTGGTGGCCTCCCTCAAGATCGTCCCGGAGCCTGTTCCACGGTTCTACGGGCAGCAGGACGGCGTACTTCCCTGAGGGGGAGATGGCCGCGGTGGACATTCTGGAAGGACAGTTGGCGTTTTTGTCACGTGTCCGGCGCTATGAGGAGAGCCACCCTGGAACCCATGTACTGCAGCGGAATCTCGTATGGAAGTACGAGTTCCTGTGCTGCTTCCTGGGCCCTGGGCTGCCTGGACTCTTCGGAGTTGGACGTGTTGGGCAAGGAGATCTTCGAGGTCTCCAAGCTGAAGCACGACCATGGCGGCTGGGCCATGAAGTCGTCCAAGCAGCTCTCGCGGCTGACTCGGCACGACGAAAAGGTCACACCGAAGAAGTATATGGAGATCCCTCTGGAGACGATGATGAAGCACCCTCTCAAGCCTTTCGACTGGGTATCCAGGAAGCTTCCTGATGGCGAACTCGAAGGGCCGCTTCAACATCTGGGTGGCCCCGGCGGCGCTCCAGTACGATCGCTTCCGCGACTTCGACTTCCACGTCGCCGCCGTCCAGGGTCACTAAGAAGGCGGCGTGGCAGCAGCACCGGAGAGCCATCCACTTCGTTTATGCGGGTGGAGAGGTTTCTCCGGGGCCTGGGACCGTCATTAAGTACGGCTCCTACGTCTTCTACGCCAAGCTCGATTATGAGAGCTTCCTGAACCACGGCCACGAGCTGTATCTCACAGACAATGGCGTGGTGCTCTCATACAAGGACGTGGCGCCAATGTATTTGACGTTCCACTACCGTCCGCCTCACGAGCAGGATCCGGGTGGCTTACGCCACGAGAAGAGGCAGCAAAGCGCAGGGGTAGGCTCTTCTCATGAAGAGGGAACCTCAGCATCTGCCTCTGCTACCGGAGGCTCTCCTCAGGGAGAGGTACCGGGAAGCAGTACGGATCCAAGGCCTTCGAAGCCTGCTCCCAAGAAAAGGCCAAAGACATCTCAGGATGCCGGCCAAGCGTCTCAGGGAAGCTCTCCTCAGGGAGAGGTACCCACATTGGACGCAGCTTAAGGAAGAGCGGGAGCGGCGAGCCACCGCCTCCAAAGGGGCTACCAAGTATGCGTACCAGTCTGGGGACACCGTCCACGGCAAGATCGATGCGCGCAAGTCGCAGCAGCAGGAGGAGCTCAACGAGGTTCTCCGTAAGGCAAGGACCAATCCTTGGCATCTTTTTGCACATGGTCTCTTGCACATGGTTGACGCTTCTGGTCAGCGGATGCTCAGCTCCTACGGCGATGCCCTCGTTCAGGTCACCCCCTGGCATGCTTTGACTCCATCTATGAGGGAGTCCTTGGGTGGTGAGTGTACCTGGGCATCCTGGCTTCAGCATCCCCTGTTGGGGTATTCGTTACACTTCTTCTTGAAAGCCTTTGAGATGGGGAAGTTGCAAGGGAACTACCTCGTCGAGCTGCAGAAGAAACCGAAGGTTTATTCCAATGGTTACACTTCTCCATGGATGAACCTGAGGCGTCACCCTGGAGGCCTTGCTGAGATGTTGGAGACCGTCACCATTGCGGCGCAGAACGAGTTCGGACTTTCCGTCGGCAGCATCGGTTTCGATCGCCCTCGCAGTGACGATCCTCGTTCCAAGATGCCCAAGACGGAGGATCCTGATTACTTTCGCAAGCTCGAGGCGCACAATGCTTTCCTCAGGGAAAGGGATGTGTACTCAGAGATCTTCTTCGTGCGAGAGGATTTTCAGATGCTTGTCGGCGTCATCAACGAGGCCTATGGTGTGGACTTCTTCTCCTACATCCAGTGCCATGCACATGACGTGGAGATTCGCCGCAAATACTTGGTGAAGACTCCTGAGGGTTACGGTCTGTTTGACTCCACTCTCAAGCAACCCTTCAATGGTCGCTATGTGCTGGCAGCTCTGGATAAGGTTTTCTCTACAGCCGAAAACAAGGACTTTAAGTCGGCCTTCGCCCGCAAGGCAAGGGCAGACTTGTTGGCTTACGAGAACCTGCGCGAGAAGAAGGAGGCAGAGTTGAATGAACTCTACACGCGACCCTATGAAGACCTTTTGGTTGAAGAGTTCATCGAACGGCTTCCTGGTCCACAGGTCGAGGAGATTGAGGAGCCTGCCGCGGCCACTGAGATGGACACCTCCGAGCCGGCCTCAGGATCAACCGACGTGCCACAGGGCAAAAAGGATGATCCCGTGAAGACCGAACCGACCAATGTGCCAATGGAGACTGAAGCTCCAGAAAGCTCTCCTCAAGAGGCATCTGGAGTGAATGTTGAGCCAATGGAGACCGAAGCTCCGGAAGGCTCTCCTCAGGGAGAGGTATCTGGGGTTAAGGTCGACCAGCCTACCGAAGGCTCTCCTCAGATATCGGAAACCAAAGATGAGCACATGGGTCAGGAAGGAGGGCAGTCCGAGGACAGTGAGATGGTACAGGAAAGCTCGCCACAGGACGAGGAACCCATGCCTGACATTTCTCCCGAAAAGGATGATGAAAGTGAACTTCACGATCAAGGCATGTGGGGGAAATGCAAGAACGTCCCGGACCCTGAGTTCTACAAGGCCGCGAAGGATGCGGAGGAGAAAAACGAGAACGTGTTCGAGAACATGGGTAAGGCGCAGGAGAAGATCCAGCTCGCCGACACCGACGAGTACAAGCACTTCCTCGCCGAGCTCGTCAACATCGAACGTGAGAGTCCCATGCGGTTGCTCTCTAAGCAAGCACGTGGTTATGGCTACAGCGGCCTCTATCACACCGGCTTGCGCGACCACACGTGGGAACCAGTTCTCGCGTTTAAGGTGCAACGTATGAACTGGAGGATCAATGCTCCACCTCACAAGGGGCAGAAGTACTCTCTCAGCGCAGGAGACCTATTCGCCCAGCTCAACAAGATGTCTCCGATGTATGAGCGGCGCCCCGACAGACACGATGTGGTCTTTCGGTCGGGAGACGTCCGCAGCACCTTAAACGACAAGCTGATGGAGACGGCCTCTGACTTCCGGGAAGCAGCTCTGGAGGTCTTGGAAGCGCTCCTCGAAAAGGTGAAGTCCCTCGACGCAAGCGGCAATCCGGCAACTCGAGAAGAACTTTTGAACGCTATGCTGCTTCATTACTTCTTGAGCACCGGAGTCGATGAGGAGGAGATCGGGGACCTCTCTCTTGAGAGGATGCCGAATCCCTACGGAGGACGCCAAGGTCCCCCTCTTCACGAGCAAGACCAAGTACGTACGCCGCTCTCATTGTCAATCTCGGCAACATGAGCAGAGGGAGGAAACGTACTGCACCTACCTCCGTTGCCAGTCACATTGACTGGGACGACTCCGCGCCGTCCAAGGGAGCCTTGATCAAGTCGATCGCTCAGAGCAAATCACACCTCTTCATGTTGTGTGAGGCCTCTGAGATCAACGACTCTGAGAAGGCGTTTCTCACAGCAC